GAAATAAAGTGTTTGTAAATGGGGAGGGGAGGAGGGGGTGAAGGGAGGGCAGGGACAAGGGGAAAAATGAGAATCAAGACCTATTATGTAAAGGTACAGAATCCCAATGATGAATGTAATTGTATTGTATACCTAGACTGTACCAATAACCTCAATAAAAAGAAAAAAAAAAAAAAGTATAATCCAGGAACTCCTAAAGACTTGAGGCTCAGGAAAGGAATAAAGTAAAAACTATGTTTTTTCATAAGACAGTATTCACTATTCTCTTCTCTCCTAAGTGTACAGTGTAGTTTGAGAGGCTACATAATATATGCATCATCACAGTAATGGTAACAGGACGTCCACTAGATATTCTCCTGTTCTCAAAATTCTGTTTTAACTTCTGACATAGTAGATATTGACAAATATAAATAAAATGCTAAAACAAAAGCTCCTTGGGTGCTCAGGAAGTTTTCAGAGCTACACAGAGACTTTGAGAACAAAATTAACAAATCCGATGTTTTCCAATCAAGTCCGTTTTCTAGAGGTTTCAAAAGCAGAAAGCAAATTTTTAAAGTTCATAATTTCAAAAATATGGAGATATAGTATATTACTCTTTACAAAAAATATAAAATTCTAAAATGAACAACTTTAAAGGATAACAAAAACAACAGAATGAAGAAAATTTTATTGTAAGAACTCTAAAAATACGAGCAATTAAGTAATAAGCAACTGGCTAAAAAAAGTGCAACACTTTGATGAAACACTACTTTAAAAACCTAAGAGAATGTCAGGCATGGTGGCACATACATGTCTTTATCCCAGCCCTGTGGAAAGCTGAGGTGAGCAAATTACAAGTTTAAGCCCAGCCTGGGCAATTCAGCAAAGTGAATTAGTGTAACTGCCTCAGAACAAAAAATTTTAAAAGGATCTGGGTTCAGTCCTCAGTACCATCCCCTTACCTCTATCAAAAAATTAAGAGGAAGCCTTGACCTTATATGCCAGTTAATTAAAAATATTGTAGCTTCTTCCGCAGTCAACTACACAAATAGTAAATTTTTTTAAATTTTTTTACTTTTTTCAGGAAACAAAAGCTCCAAAGAAAGTTTCTAACTGAACCAAAAAGTTGTTGGGAAAAGGGTAATTTTAAAGACTATTTCCTTCATGCATTTAATATTCTTTTTCAAAACAAAATATTCAGAAATATACCTGAAAATAGCTGGGTTGCAGACATGCTTTGGATCCAGAGCTTCTCCCTGTATGAACTCATAGCATAGTCCATTATTGAAGGTACAGTAGAGTTGCGGTGCACAGCCATGAGCTTGCAACACTCTAAAACTCTTCACCTCTTCATCTCGATCGACTAACAACTCAGTCTTATTGCCATAAATTCTCACCAGGACTACGTCTTCCATGGTATTACCCACATAACAGCCAATAAGTTTATTAGTGATTCCATCTGTGAAGAGCTGCCAGAAAAAGAAAAAATGAGGAAAAAGGCAATTATATATTGTTAATGAATAGAAAAGCTAACATAAAGATAATGAGCAAAATACTAACTCAAGGAAAACACCAGTTGTTCAGTAGTAGAGCAAATGCTTAGCACGTGTGAGAACCTGTGTTCAATTCCCAGAGCCCAGAAAAAGAAAAGGAAAAGAAAAAAAAACCCAACTTCTTAATATAAAAGAATCTTTGGAAGGCTGGAGATGGAGCTCAATAGCAGAGTACCTGTTTAGCATGCACAAGATCCTGGGTTGGATCCTCAGCAGCATAAAAAAAGAGCCTTGAAATACATTTTGTCTGTCTGTAATTTTAATTCTAGATTTCAGCAAGGAATACAAATTCTAACACATGGCTTTTAATTACTGTAACATGTCTTCTTTGACCCGAAAGTGTTCATTATTCATTTTGTCTCTAATATTTCTATACCTGTTTATTCTAAGTCCACCTTGTAATGCAATTATTATGTATATGTGTATACACACACACATCTCTTCTTCATCCAATAGACTGAAATGTCCCTGAATATGTGACAGTCATCTTCCTAGCATCATGTATTACATACAAAAGTTTTAAATTATATTCAAAGATTTAAATATAGATTTACATTATGGCACATTATGGAAAATCACCACCAACAAAAAAATCCCAACTTTATTAATTTTAAAGATTAAACATTCATTAAACATTGTTTTAAGTACCTAAGTTATGACACTTTTAAACTTACAGGAAGAACAGAAGTGGAGATTTCTAGGGTATTTTATAAAAGGAACTTTGGGGACTTTTTCAAGAGTTTTAAATCAAGTACATTAACCTATTTTTTAACCTGAGCACAAAAAAAAGTAGATTTAAAAAGCAATCAGGAGGGTGGGGGATTTAGCTCAGTGGTTCTGCTGCCTGCCTCACAAGCACAAGGACCCAAGTTCGATCCCCAGTAGCAAAAGAAAAAAAAAAAAGCAATTGGGAGATTAGCAATATTAGTTTTCAAAATCTGCTCAAAAGTTGGAGCATTCATTTTCCTCTACTTTAATTTGACATTAGAACTCTTCTATTTACCCAGTTATAATTCAGAACTTTTGGAAACTCTCAAAAGAAATAGAGGGGGGAGAGTAAAAGCAACACTGACATTTTTTCGAACACAATTAGTCAAGAACAGGGGGAAAAAAAAGGAAAAAAGATTTGAAGGTACATACAGCAAGATGTGGTACCACATAGCTAGGATCCCAGCACTCTGGTAGGCTGAGGCAGGAAGAATTGAAGTTTAAGTCCCTCATGAGCAACTCAGTGACTTAGCAAGACCCTGTTTCAAAATTAAAAGTTAAAAAAAGGCTGGGGATGTAGCTCAGTGCAAAGGTCCTGTGTTCAATCCCCAATAACACACACACACACACACACACACACGTATGCACATTTCACTGAGAAAAAGGATAAGCATTTCTTACTCAATTAGACTTTTATGATATTAAATAGTATTTTTAAAAAAGCTTTACATCTTCAAAGGAAGTCTGTCCCCGCCACCCAGTGATAGAAGTGAAACCAGGACCTCATAGATACTAGACAAACACTCTATAACAGAACTACATCCAAACCTTTTTCATTTCTCACTAATTTTCCCAGGTTGGCCTCAAACGTGAGATCCTCCTGCCTTTGCCTCTGTGCCTCTATAGCGTATACCTCCAAGCCTGGCTCAGAGGAAGATTTGAAAGAAAGTATTAAAATTAATAAACACCAAATAGGTGTTTAAATAGTGTTTTTATTATATACAGTACTTAGCTGTTATCCTTATTCACCCAATGCAGATAAAATTGCGTGAATTAATGTAAAGATACTCACTGGGAATATCTATGTTTTTTACATATACACAAATACACAAATATTGTTTTTCATCCATATTTTCAAAATCACTGAATGGAAGAATAAGTTGCCAAAAAATATGTACAAAAAAGTGAGATTCCCCAATCTAACAAAAGAAGCAAAAGACCTCTACACTGAAAACTACAGCACTCTGAAAAAAGAGATCGAGGAGGATATAAGAAAATGGAAAGATGTCCCCTGCTCCTGGGTAGGAAGAATCAACATAGTGAAAATGGCCATACTACCAAAACTACTATACAGATTCAATACAATACCAATTGAAATTCAAACACTATACTTCACAGAACTAGAAAGAAGAATCCAAAAATTCATTTGGAACCATAAGAGACCTAGAATAGCAAAAGCCATCCTAGGCAACAGACACATGGCAGCAGGAATAACAATTCCCAATTTGAAACTATACTACAAAGCCACTGTGATAAAAACAGCATGGTACTGGCAAAGAAACAGACGTGAGGATCAGTGGAACAGATTGGAAGGCACAAAAACAACTCCAGATTCACTCAGCTACCTCATCTTTGACAAAGGAGATGACAATCTCCATTGGAGGAAAGATAGACTCTTTAATAAATGGTGTTGGAAAAACTGGATCTCAACCTGCCAAAGATTGAAACTAGACCTTATCTGTCACCATGCACTAAATTAAAATCCAAGTGGATTAAAGATCTAAATATAAAAACAAAAACACTAAACTTGCTGGAAGATAAGTTAGGCAGAACTCTGGAAGACATTGGCATAGGAAAAGATTTTATGAACAAATCCTCAGTAGCAAGGAAACTAGCAGAAAGAATCAACAACTGGGATCTCATCTTACTAAAAAGCTTCTGCACTAAAAAAAAAAGAAACCATCAACAGAACTAAGAGACAACCTACAATGGGGGAAAAAATTTTTACCAGCTGCTCCTCAGACAAAGGACTATTATCTAAAATATATAAAGCACTCAAAACAACCAGCCCCCCCAAATATAAAGACCCAATTGTAAAATGGGCATCTGAAATGAACAGATATTTCTCAGACAAAGAAATAAAAGCAGCAAGTAAATATATGAAAAAATGCTCCACATCACTGGTCATTCGAGAGATGCAGATGAAAACAACATTGAGATTTCACCTCACCCCACAAAGAATGGCTGCTATCAAGAAATCACACAATAACAAATATTGGCGGGGTTGTGGGGAGAAAGGAACCCTTCTCCATTGTTGGTGGGAGTGCAGACTGGTGCAACCACTATGGAAGTCAATATGGAGATAACTCAAAGAACTAGGATTAGAGGTTCCATTTAATCCAGCCATCCCTCTGTTGGGTATCTTTCCAAAAGAATTAAAAGAATCATACCACAGTGATTTATGTGCACCCATGTTTATAGCGGCACAGTTTGTAATAGCTAAAACTTGGAAACAGCCCAT